TTCGGTGTGTTCGTTAGGAACTTCTCCCCTGTGAGGGAAAATTGCTTGTTGACGCTCAAAGAGCCTCTTGGCTGAGGTGAAGTGGGTAAATGTACACCCCTTGGGGGTGTAGGTGGAAGTAGGAGCGATGGCCTGGGCCTCCTTGGTGGAGGATTAGAAACGTAATCTCTTTTCCTGGTTGTAGTACTTGCCTGGATCTTACCTATCTGGGCTTCTGTTTCCTCATCTCTGACCTGAGACAGGCAGCAGCTGCTTCGTTTTCAGACCTGCTGAGGGAAGTAACAATAAGTGTTGTCACAGAGTCAGGCACATTTAACATTGGCTTTTAAAACCATACAGCATTTTAATTCACCAAAAGCTGGTAAATTTAGAATAAATGCAACCTAGAAGTGAAGTAAGCAGCTACAGAAAGGTTCCCTAATAAAATATTTTCTCCTCATTAGAGGAGAATTTTCCTTTCTCTTTATTACTTAATACTTAAGTCCAGTAGTTCAAGATCTGTTTCTGTGATTTACTTAGTGACAGGCAGACAGTATTCTGTCACCGTTGCAGTTATGTTGTGTTCTCTGTTTTCTGTGCCATGTCCTTCAAAGTGACGTGGAGCTTGACTGTTGATTGTTGTTGTTTTTGCACTCATAAGTGTGTTTTCAATACAAAATAAGGAAATAGTATCAATAGCAGAAGTTGTTGAAGTAAAGACTATTAAATTCCCCTTCTCATTACAAAACAAAACTAGTTTTAAAGTTCATACAAGACCCAGATTTACTTCAGCCTTTCTGTACTCATCAGATCTTGATGCATTAAGCTTCTAAAAGCACGTGTGGAGATTCTGGGGGGAGCAGACTGGGGTTGTGGTGGTGGAGCTTAATAGATCCACTGCTAAGCCACAGTATTTTACCCTTCGCAAACTTATTAAATGTACTGGGGGAAAATATCTCTGTGGATCGTACTCACATGAGTTGAACTTATTTTATAATCAACTCTTAACTTGTTCGTAACAATAAGGAAGTCGATGAACCAAAACATTTCTTAATTAGACAGTCCTTAGGCTAACTGAAGTAAAACTCAAACATCCTAGGTTTACATTTGTTCTTGAGATAAACTGTGCATTCTTTATGTTACATTACAAATTGTAAATTACATTACAAATGGGTGGAAGAATGAATTTGGCAAGACTCAACAGAGCCAGGTTTCCTGTTTTGTATGGAAAATATGATAATATTATTCATTTATAAACCGGAAAACCATTTGAAGATTCAGAAAATGTTTTTGTCAATTTGTCAAGGGAGCTTTTGTTGGTTCACCTTTTTCAGTTTGTTTTCAAGCCCATTGCTTTTCAAAGTACTTCCCAGAACACATAAAAGAAGTACTTTTCATTTATGTTGACACACATTATGTCAAAATGATACTTGGCAAAATATTCTTAAAGGAGGGGAATATCTAGTACAGAAGTGATGGATAATTCTAATCCTCCAGTTCTTACAAATTGTCTGTTTTAAATACACTGAGTTATGAAAAGCATTCTTCAACAAGATTATTGCCTCTTCAGTGAACACTTGTGGGACTATAAAATAACTGATCAGCTTTAAGTCAGTAAGTGAAAGCGAGTGTTCTTATTTGATATATATAATTAGCCATCCTGGTGATTGAACTCTAGGCATTTATGTTTTCCCTAAATGCAGTTTCGTTTCTTTTCATTCCTATTTCTTCTCAAGAAAAAGTGTTAATTTCTTTCTGTGCTTCTATGTGCTGAAGGCAGACAAACTTTGGGTGTGTATTGGCTATGTCTACGCTGTTTAAGATACTTGCTGTAGGTGTGGTGGTGCCTCTAATACTGGTGAGCCAAGTCCAGCAGTCCAGGACTCCTCTGAATGCCTCCTGTGACCCTGTTGCCCTGGAGCAGCCTTGCACCCAAATAACAGACCAGATCACTTGAATTCCCACCAGTTTGCTTTATTCAGCATGTTGTGATGATCAAAACAGGGAGCACATCTTAGATGCAGAGCCGACAATTGATTTAGTCTAATCAAAATCTTGATGGTCTAATCAAAGACTAAGTATTAGTCCAGATGCTAACGCAGTTCGGGTTCTTTATGGTGACAGTGATATAGGCACAAGCTCTAGTAACAAACTCTTTCTCTGGTGTTACCTTTGCCCACCAACTCCTACTTTTTGTTCTAGTCTAGTCTATATGTTGATGAATGATTCCATATTACATCTGAATTTACTGCATGTGGTGTGTTTTACATTTGTTGAGTACTTGTTCTTTGTTCTATGTGTTTCCTATAAAAACTGGTTTTACCCAAGGCTGCATCCCATTGATGCTCAGTAATTAAACACAAGTGAGTTGTTATAGGGCCCCAGTATTGTCCTGTCTTGCTGCTTTCAGGCCCCTGCAGTCACTCTCTGCCTGTACTCCTCTATGCTGCTTTTTTGAAAGGGATGTAGATACTTCACTCTGCAGAGTAACTGCTTGTTACTGCTGCTTGTTATTTAGAAATGTAAATGTAACAGGAGGTGTCAGCCAATTGTACAATACTAATCAAAAAGCTGAAATAAATTAGGTAAATTCCCTGGTTTTTAATTGGTTTTGTTGCAGCTAAATAAACTATAGCCAATCTCTCAGTACAAAAAATGAGTTCAAACAAAGTCTGAGATGTTTGTGGTTTATGTTAGCTGGAAATTAAGACTTTGGCATCAATGACAGTACCACACTGCATAGATTACAAACAGAACTGCTGTTCTTTTTTTTTTTTTTTTTCAGGATGATTGTAATAATATGAGTTCTGTGTTACAGTGCTCCAGAGTACTGGTTTTACATTTTATATTATTTTACTAATTCAATATAAATATATTCTATTTTATTTTGGGTTTTTTGCATTCCCTGAGATTCTGTCCTGTGGAGACAGAACTGGTGCAGTCTTGCTTGTGGATCTGGTAGAGAACAGGCCCCCAAAATTCTGCCAATGTGTTTCAGTTTGGGTTTGGTTTGCTCTTCAAGGAGCAAAATAATATACATTCCACACAGATGTTTATGAGGCCAGGACTTACAACTTTGGGAGCAGAGATGCACCCTGATATATGAAAATATTCTTACATGATCTTAGTTTTGCACTCATGGACGTATCTGAGGGTTTTCATTACACTTAAAGATAAACCGAGTAACACAATTATAACTGCATTATTTCAGAAGAACAAAAGAACAGTCATTACTGATCATTTGAATGTTCAGCATGTGTTTAGCAATCTCTAGGACAAGTGATCTCAAGCACAGCTTGTCTTCTTTCTGGGCTTTGCAGTGCAATTTTATTTTTCATCAGAATCCTCTCTGACCTAAGTTTTAGGCATGTAATTTATTTGGACCACTTGGAAAATATTTAGGTTCTTTAAAAATCTTATTTCAGAAAGTTAACTTGCTTAAGTAAAGAATTCAGTGTTAATTTCCCAGAAACTTCCCAGCTTAGAAATCTGTTTGGATATTTCTTCCTCTAATTCCTTCTGTACAGATTATGAGGGCAAATGGGTTCTGGTCACTGGAGACAGTGTTGTGCTAAGAGTGAGCTTGGGCCAGAAAGCTTGAAATTGTGCTGAAACATGTCTGAACAGCTGACAATTCTGCATGTGTATAGACAGTGCAACTGAAGGCCAAGAACCATGCTAAGTTTATTTTATTGGGAAATAATATAGTGAAAAATTTACAGCTCATTTACAGTTGTGCTGTATGCCCTGCAGATAAGAGTTTTGATTGAAAGCCTTTCAGTTTTGTTGTGTGTAGTTTGCTTTACCATTTGGAAATAGGCTAGGAGCTTATGTTGTTCAACAGGCAGAACTGATGGGTTCTGATGCAAATCCTATTTATTCACCCCTTAGAGGCTTGATGTCCTGAAGTTCGATTGAGGGGAGATAGATGGTGAAATTAGGTTGAGAGCTGTGAAGAGTGGAGAGAGAGATAAAAGACGTGGGAGGCTGAGCATAGTAAAAATACTTCAACTGATGAGAAAGCTCATTTGACTAAGAAGGTACGGATTTTATACATACATGTATACGTATGCATACACACATGCATATATACATACATACATATATACATATGCATACATACATATATATATATATGCTCCATTATATTCTCAGGAAGTATTTTTAAAAATGCAAAATAAATTGAATTTACCTTGAGATTATGGGATTTTTTCAGTTTGTATCAGAAGACAGGCTGCAGGAGCAGCCCTTCTCATTTTATACCTGCTGCAGATGTAATGTTTGCCGCATAGCAGCAGTGTAGTCTCTCTTATTGGAGATAAAAACCCCAAAGGCTGTATTTGCATTTTCTTACAAAGCATGTGGCACAAATATGTGTGTTCCTGCCACCTCTTGAAGGCATGAAACAGTAGATGTTGCAGAGTACAAGAGTACTTTCTGGGGCAAATACATAGTTGCAAGCTCATTAGTGGATGGGAACAGAATGTCCTCCAGACAAAAGGGACAACTGATTTCCGAGCCCATTATTTAACATCACTGGAGTGTCAGAAATTGAGATACAGAAGATGTAGTAAAATTCTACAAATATATCAGTTCTAGTGACTTAAGTTGTTAATTTATTTGATTCAAAAGTTTTTAAATATGTTTTAATTATTTTCCTGAGTAGTGTCAAGCTTTCACTTGTCATCTGTTTAATTTGTCAATGCTTCTTTCCCCTCCCTCTAACCTGGAAGTAATTTCTTATTCTAGATTTAGCTGTTTTAATGTTCTGATTTCTCTTTTGGGGATGAAGTCCCTCAAACTACTGAGTGCAATGATAGTAGCAAATATAAATAATATAAATAATATAAATAATAAGGCTAATGCAACACAGCATGTGCCATAAAGTTATTGGAATCCTGAATAATTTTACAAGATTTTTTCACCTCTCTTAACTAAAGAGCCAAAACATTTTCACTTTTTTCCTCCCTCTAAATTGTTACAGAAAAATTGCATTCTAAATAACGACTGCTTTCTGAACAGAACTGCAAAGATCTCATGCTATGGAGATGAAGATTACAATAAATCCAAGCAAATAATCCAGCTGCTTCATTGTGCCAACTAAAAGTTCCTTTGTGTCAAAATGAACAGTCTTTGAGAAAAATCTGGAAAGCGGATAAATCTGAAAAATGGGAGAAAGAGTAAGGACCCCAGATTCTGAACATGACAGGAAATCAGATGAGGATCAAAATAGTGACTCTTATTATTCGGATGAAGATAATTCATCTCATTCATCTGGCCAGTCGCCAACACTAAGCTATCCATCTACAAGCCAAGAAAAAAGAAAACCACAGACTTTAAACAGCCTTGTACAATACCAAGGTAGGTAGATAGCAGAAATTGTTGCTTTGAAACTGCTTTAAAGAGTTAATTGTCTTTGAAAACTGGATTAAAAGAAGCTACCAGGATGAGAACCTACAAACCAGATTCACGTGAATTATGCTAAAAATGCCAGGTAGACTATGACTGAAATGAACCTCTTCCTGCATGAGGAGGATTTTTGGTGATTTTCAGAGCTACTAGTATTTTTTTAACAAGCAAACATTACTTTTATCCTAGCCTTTTATTGAATCATGCTGATGTTCTCTTTGACAAAAAGACTTGAGGTTAAGGACTCAAGGCAAGTACTTACTATGCAGTCAGCAGAAGAGAGACAACTGTTTAACATTTTTCTGACAAACTGCCCCTAAAAATATCTCTCTTGTGGGGAAGCGTAACTGACTAAGTTTTACAGTGTGATACTGGATACTTTCAAAAAACAAATGAAAGACCTCTAGTGTGGCAAGACAGAAAAAATGTTTGGTGAAAGTGAGGTACATGTGGAAATTCAGAAGAAGGTTTTTTGTGGTCCTTTCTGAAGGTAAGATATCCCCAAATTGAGATGAAATAACTCTACTTTGAAATTCCTAACACACACCTCACCTACATAAGCTACTTTCTTGGTTGAGATTGTGGGGAAGTGAATATACTTACAAAAAGAGAGAATGGTTATACAGGTAGGGATCTGAAGCCTCTCTGCCACACTTTAGCAGCTTGTTGTAAGTAATTACACGCATCTTCTGGTGAAGTCAGAGCATATCCTGCCTTTCTCAAGCAAGTGCTGTATTTAGTTCTTAAGTGCTTGATACTGTGTGAATCATTTGGTCAATATTATGACCTAGAGCATGCCAGAAGATCTGACCCTAAGTGCTGAAGCTGTCCAGGGAGCCTGTCTCTTCAGATCCTTGACAGCGTTGGTGTCCTGGTGCAGCTGGTGTTTTGCTGAGCTTCTCTGTGTTCAGAGTGGCATCTTCTCCACAGCAGCCATGGGTTAGCTTTGTAAGAAACAAAAACTGCAGTTCCACTGTGCTATTTAATTTGGAGTGGGCAAGCAAATTACTAGTCCTTTGATTACATAACCAGAATTTAACAGAATTATTATATGAAGGTATTGTGAATGTCATGTTGTTCTTGAAAGACACTATTCCTGAGTTTAACTATACAGTCAAAACTGCAAACTTTGCACTGGAATTTTCTATTCTGCCCTAAATGTGCAGAAATTCTTGAAGGGGCTGGGAGTCTAGGGTTAATGGGAATTCCCTTAGTTGGTGATAGGGGTGCATGTAGTAGATAGTATTCCTACAGTGCACATAGTAGAAAGTATTTTCACACCTTAATGTGACATAGGTGTTTGTTGTAAAGGAAAAAAATTCCACATTCTTTTGTTTGCCCAAGCTGTGGCTAAAATGAGCATCAAGCAGAAAAGGAATAATAATACGTGCAAAACATTTAGAGGATATTCCAATAAAATATTTTAAAGCCTTCTTTTTTTTTACTGTAATATATTCTCTGTAGAATAGAAACATGGTGAGCACCAAAGGGGTGAAGAATTTGCTGTCACACACACTCACTGTCTGTGTGTAGATGTAGAGCACTGTTGCTGTATCCCAGCTTTGAAGTCTGTAGTAGAAACTGCAGCTCAGTATGTTTCCTCCAAACACTGATGTACCTTAATGAATTATGTACTCTATACGTTCAGTTGCTTTATGAGATATTTTTTGTGGATTATATGCTTCATTATTTGAGTGTGGTGTCAGAGGATAATAAGATAGAAACAAAATGTTTTGCTTTTGTCTGTGGGAATGAGAATAAAATAATAATTTCAAACAGCAAAGCAAGTGATGCATACTAGTAATCAAATAAGGACACTGTGGAAAATAACTTGTGATATAAGAATAAATTATTCAGGGGAGATCTGAATTTTCATGGGATTTGTAATTTTGCTTTGGAGGCTTTTTGCGTTGAGCCTTTGAAATCTGCTGTTTTGTCTGTGAGCATGGCAGCTGGATTTGAAAATGCTACTGCATTTGTCTGACAGAATTACATCTTGCATAATGCATAACTAGCTAGTGCTCATTTCATTGTTGCCATTTTAAAAGCATTTGATAATATTGTATGCCTAAGAGTACAGTATTTCTAAAACATTTTAATAAATGTCATCAAATATTAACAAAATATGGCTTATTTCTGATAGCATTTGCAGATTATTACTTTACAATGGTCCTATATTGATGGCTGCAAATATTACCTTTTAAAGTAGATCACAAACATAAATTTTCATTCTTTTATCTATCAAAAGGAGCATAAGTCTATCATATATATGCCTTTTATTGTCTGGTTTGAAAGCTGCAATCTCTGCTAAGTGTAGTAAAGTTGTTCCATGCAGAGCTTTATTCCAAGAAGGATGTCTGAACAGACGAATTGCATTGTCTTACAGTAAACGTATTTTTATTTTTTGTCTCTCAGCCACAAAGAAATTGGGCTCCAAATATGCACCAAGTAAAAGAGGGCTGCAGTGGGGTGCCCGTTCTCAGAGCCTCACTAGGGATTCGCCTGCAAAAGATATAGATCTGGTTACAAAAAGAGTTCTTTCTGCTAGGCTGCTGAAAATCAATGAGCTCCAAAACGAACTGACTGAACTCCACATCAAACTAGATGAGCTGCAGAAGGAAAACAGGGCACTGAAGAGGCTTCAGCACAGGCAGGAGAAAGCCTTGAATAAGTTTGAAGATACAGAAAACGAAATCTCTCAGCTCCTGGCTCGGCACAGCAATGAAATTAGAATATTAAGGGAGCGTCTACGAAAATCTCAGGAGAAGGAACGAGCAACAGAGAGACGGCTGAAAGATTCAGAAGATGAACTGTACAGAACAAAAACTGTCTTGCAGAAGCTGAAAAAGCTGTCTGCAGATAAGCACCTTGCTGAAAGAGATGACCTGGCAAAGAAGCTGGCCTATGCAGAGAGCAGGCTAGAGGATAGTGAAAAAAGAATTAAGGTGAGATAACTTTACTTTTGTAAGAAATTCTGCTACAAGTATTTCATACCATAATGAGCTTCATGAGTTGTATTTTTTCACAGTTGTGGAGCAAATAGAAAATAATTCTTTTTTGTTTTACACATAAGTAGCATTAAGTAAATTATTTTTAAAGTGATTGTATACTTATCTACTTGGTGGTTTTGCATTCACATTTCTATTTACAAATGAAGTACATTTTGTCAGAATATATACTCGAGGCTTGTGCTTTTAAATGCTTTTATAACTAGTAGTAATGTTTCAGAAATGCATGCAGCTGTAATAAAACTTAATGTAATCTAATTTAGCCTCTTGGAGGACAAGCATTTGTTACAAATTTAGGGAACTGTGTACAGAAATTCTAAAAAACATATTTAAAAATTATTTCTCAATTTTGTGAATGGCATTCATGCAGTGTTTGATTGTCCATTATTCTGCATATCTGAGAGCTGAGCTGAACAAGATTACAGCAATTATTTTAATACCAAAATGACCACTTTACGGGTGTCCATTTTGAGAATTTTGTGCAATGTATTTTAATTCTGTTCAGCAAAACTGTTTACATTTTTGTACACATGTCTAAACATGCCTACATTGTAAATATGTCTAAAAAGTCATCTTACTTAAGAATAATAATGTTAACACTATTAAACTGTTGGTAGTTGAATGCAGTATTATTTTTAGTAAAAAATGTGTTGGTGATTAAAATGGTATTAAAGTTTGGTGTCTACATGAGTAATTAAACCTAAATGACATTACAGAGATAATAGATCTGGAAATCCAAAGGATTAAGCTGGAAACTAAGCTTTCATATAATAAATCCCAAAATACCAAGATACAAACTGCTGAGTTACCCAGATCACCTCACCCTGTAGTTTCACCATCTGGCATCTGTAGTTCTATGATCAGGTATCTCAGGATTTGTAGTACTGGATAATGTTAAAATGAATCATGCTCTAAAAAGAAAGGATTTCGTTCTACTTTTTTTCCTTCTTATCATCACAGGTTCACTTAAAACAGCAATTTCAAAGTGAGAGTGTGTAAATGAAATCACAATCAAGAATGTGTTTCTAATAGAAAGGTTAAAAATTATTTCCTTATTCCCTCTAATCCTGCATATTCAGGGAGGTATTCTGTTCCTTAACCATGAGTATGAGATCTCATTTAAGAGATGTAGAGGTCCACTGTGCCAACAGCTTTGCAGAAAGTACTGTCTGTTCCCATTATGTCCTTAAATCACCTCTCAATGCTCCAGAAGGATGAGCTTCAGCATCTGCAGGTACTCTCTGTCTGCTCCCTCAAAATTAGGATGAAGGATTTAATTGTGTTCATTGTTACAGTAATGGTGGTGCTGATATTTGAATTCAGCCTACTCATTTACTGTAATTTTATTTAAGTAAATTGGCTATTAAAAATACTTCTGTTACTACAAAAAATTATTTTGTTTTCAATTGAAGGATCTGGAAAAAAATCTTGAATTAAGTGGTAGCAGTTTTCAACGAGAGTTACATTCAAAGAAGAAAAAGATGCACGAGACTCAAGAAGAAAACAGAGCTCTCCAAGAAGAGCTTCATCAACTAAGTCAGAAGCTGAAGGTAAAATGTAAAGCAATGCAAGTTGCTAACCATGTTATGGCATTTTATCTTTGGAAGTATCTGTAATCAGTTTACCAGTGACTGCACTCTCTGATGTGTGCTTAATTATATACAACATGTGAGTTCTTTTCCTGCTTTAAATCAAAATGTTCTGTGCTCTGACCCTACAGTGTTTATAG